ACTGTTTACCATTTTAACCTCAATTTGGTCCCTCCGTTAAAATCCGCTTACGTGTCTTGTTAACTAGCAGAAACACGATGACATGTCAACATATTAAATACACACAGAAAGATAGCATGGCAAAAAAAAAAATACTTAAAAAATTCTCTTCTTTCCTCTTTCTCTCTCTTCTTTCCTCTTTCTCTTTCTTCTTCCTTGCCTTCCACAAACCCTAAAGAAGAAACCCGCAACTGCCCCCCAAGGAAACCTGCAATTTCATCTTTTCATTTTTTTTCTCTCTCCATCCCTCACCCAACACTAGATCTAGACATTTTCCCTTCCAATTTCTCTCTTTTGTTGGGTTTGAAAGCTGGGTTCAAAGGAACCCATTAAAAAATTCTCTTCTTTCCTCTTTCTCTTTCTTCTTCCTTGCCTTCTACAAACCCTAAAGAAGAAACCCACAATTGCCCCCCAATGAAACCTACAATTTCATCTTTTCATTTTTTTTCTCTCTCTATCCCTCACCCAACACCAGATCTAGACATTTTCCCTTCCAATTTTTGTCTTTTGTTGGGTTTGAAAGCTGGGTTCAAAGGAACCCAGAAGGAACCCAACACAACTAGGTTCTTTTGAACCCAGTAGCTGCTAGGTCAATTGAACCCAGCAAGTGTGTTGGGTTCGATTTCGAACCCAACAATTGCTTCTTCTCCCTCTTCCTTTCCTTTCACTTTCTGCAAACCCAAACACTTTTTGCAAACCCAGACACTTTCTAACATCAAATCCAAGTATAACACAAACATAAACCCAAAATCTCCTTAAAATAGTCACTGCCCTCTCAGCCTTCCAAAAAACCTAAAAAAATCAAGGTATCTTCAATCAAACCTAACAATAGTTCTTCAATCGAATCTAGCATTCTTCAATCAAACCAGTAGGGGTTCTTCAGCCTATTGGGTTCGATCAATGAACCCAGCAAGCGCTCCTGGGTTCGATCGATGAACCCAATGACACCTGCTGGGTTCAACAATCGAACCCAAGAGTGCCTACTCGGTTCACCGATCAAACCCAGCAACGTCGTCGGGTTCATCAATCGAACCAGTGATGCCATTGGGTTTATCGAGCAAACCCAAGAGTGCCTACCCGGTTCATCGATCGAACCCAACAAGTGTCGTTGGGTTCTTGTTGTGTTCATTATCGAACCCAGTAGCCAAAAAATAAGGATTTGGGGAAGAAGATGAATGCTAGAGATGAAAATGAAGGGGCAATGAAAGGAAAATGGAAAGAAATTGATGTGTGGATGAAGATGAGGGTAAAAAATTAATTTTAGTTTTATAATTAATTTTAGATATTTTAATTTTTACTGAAAATTACATGTCAAGTTTTATATGCCATGCTGTCAATCCTACATGTCAATATTTTTACATGTCATCATTTTTTGTCAACTAACGGGACACGTAAGCAGATTTTTAACAAAGGGACCAAATCGAGGTTAAAACTATAAACAATAGGGACCAAATCAACGATTTTTTTAGTTGAGGGACCAAAATGGGGGTTTAACCTTTTAATTTTTAGCTCTCTCTTTATATATATATATATATATTATACATTTGATAATGAGCAAGTGATACCGAATTCCAATTCTTGAGGAAAAACACATTTTAAGATTCGAATATGAAACTTGTAATATAAAGATTCGAACTCGTTGAGTTATCTATTTAAGGGAACTTGTATTGAACTTGCCTCACTTAGCCTAACAACTTCATGAAATTTACATAGTTAGTCTTTTAAAAATTTGAGCTCAAATCATTAGTCTTATTAATTTGATAACTTATATATTAGATACAACTACACTTTCTATCTTGATATAGTATTGCAGGTTTCAAGTTCTCCTTCTTATTACAAGTACAACATAATTAGAACAACTTTAAAGAGGAAGGATGTAGTTATGGTCACCACTACAAATTTTGAGCCACTAAAACTGTGTTAAAAAAATATTTATTTGATTTGATTTGATTGTTAAGAATAGTTAATAATTAATAGAAAAACTAATATTTATTATTTAATAAATTAAAATAACTTTATAAACTAATATTTTCATATATCATAATCATCTATTTACACACAAAAAAAAAAAAAAAAAAAAAAAAAAAAACTACAAATATCAGTCAAGTTGAATATGAATTTGGTGGTCTTAATAATTTCATTGGTGGTTATAACCACCCCGAATAGGGATAATGTTCTCAAAACTAAATTGAAAAGGTATTAAACAACAATAAGCACATTCCATGTCATTGACTATCCTTCCTTAACTAACTTTTAATTCCTCCATGTCCATAAATGAAATTCTATTTATAAATTGGTCATTCTTGAAGAAAATGGTAGTTATGGACAATAGTATATGTGGTTAGTGTGCAAATATTATTAAGGTCTTGAATATTCACAAACATCACAACTAAAAGGCAGGATATTTTAGGTAGATTGGGTTTGAGATAGTTTGGTCCAAGATCCTTTATTTGGCACCCTCTCTAAATCCACTATAATTATAGAAAAATTATTGATACACACTTGGTTCAATACATTTTCTAACTCTATATTAGTTCAATTATTAAAATATAATATAAATATAATCAATTCAACTAATTCTTACATTCTGTATGTATGATTATACTTTCAACTTTATTTATCTTTAATTTTAAACAAAAAATTAAAAAATAATATTTTTTAAATAAATGTGATGTGTAATATATTAAAACAAAATGTGTATCAATTAATATCTATAACTATAATAGACTTTAGCAAACTAACTGTTTGACAATTTGCCCTTTTCAATCCTTGTCCATGTCTTTGCTTCTACTTGTTTCCAAGATCTGCTCTGCATATATCCCCATTACCATTCCCTCCACGATTTTTCTTTGTTGCTTAAGTAGAAAGAATAATTTTTGTACGCTAGCTCAGTTGATAAGACCTCCTCATCCCGTGTTGAGAACGAACGTGGTTGTAAATTCCAAAAGCAACAACAACTACAAAAACTCATAGATTCAAATCTAGAGAAATTAAATCAATCTTAACATCATATCAGAGCTCTTTTTTCAAAATGTTAAGAAATATTATAAAGAACATAATAAACCTACCATAGTTATTATGGCGAGGTTGATGAAATTAATGAGGCATTCTTGCTGGCTATGATAGTACAATGACATAAGATGTAATAAAATTGTTCCTATTGAATCAGCTGTTCCTGTTTGGGATTATTCTTATCCGTTTTGCTAATTATGATACAAGTCACATCGTAAGTGCCAATTATATATATGTAGGGCATTGAAAGAAAATGATGAAAATGCCATGCTATAGCCTTGAAGGGGGAAACACAATGTAAATGAATTGAATGAGATGGTGGGCATGTGTAGATAAGTTTGTTTCGAGTTCTTGCTTCCCCATGTGTATCAATCAAGTGCTTCCAATTGAGAGTCTCTGGGATTCTGATTCCTCTATTGACTTTGATTCTAAGGCAAGCTTATTTCATAATTGGAATTTGAATCATTTCTCTGAACTCAGCTGCACACAAGTGACTTCTTTCCGTATCATCTCTCTCGTATTAAAAAAAATAAAAGGTTGGAGAGTTTTTTATTATTGGATTGTAAAACAAAAATTATTAAGCGAGAAAAAAGCCTTTGATATCCAAGGTTTTTACTTCTGTTAAATAAATTAAATTGTATTATTGAAACTATATAATAGTTTTTTTTTTAAAATTAATCTTTTTACCTTTAATTTTCAGTTCAAGTCTTCAACTACAAGGCCTGAAAGAACTCAACATGGATTGGATAGGGGGACGTCAATGCTGTTGGGCTGATTGATATTTGTAGGCCCATAAGGAAATAACTTTATTGGGTATACATTTTTGTGAAGCTATCAGGCCTGCACTTGGGAGACTAATAATGTATATATATTTTTGGGAAACTAATAATTTCAGGTTCATATTTTCACAATGCAAATTCAGTTTTCATCTGAGACGCCATTTTCTCCTCACATAATGTTTTGGTTTTTGGGCCATGCAGACTAGTCGTGCTATTTTCACTCTTCTTTATGTGGACATTTTGGAAAAGTGATAATAAAATACAATACTATGCTCTCCCCTTCTATAATAACAGATATTTTTTATTCAAAATTTGTTATAAATTAATTTTTATTTTTTTATATTTGAAAGATAAAAAAATATTTTATAATTTAAATTATTTTAAATTGTAAAATATTGAAATTTAAATAGGAAGAGTCTAAGACTTTTCTTTTATTAAAAATTTTTTATTTTAAATATAAAATAATCTAAAT